TAATAAACCAAAGAAAACAGAATAACAATTATTGCTTTTAAAGATCCCTCTCCGTAAACACATATTCATTAAAATTATTTAAAACTAATATTTATCAAGAAATAACAGAGGAACAACTATGGTACCTCTGCCCCTGTTTAAATCCATCAAATTCCGTGTTATCTAGTTGAATCCCCCCAAGGATCTGAAAGGGGGCCTCCCCCCCCCTTGGTTGCGCCTCTATCCCTGTACCTGTTTAGCTGTAGGAGCAGCTGATGGTTTTGGAGAAGCTGTAGCAGCTGCTGGACTAGACGCAGCTGCTGGACTAGACCCAGGAGCAGCTGTATCAGAAGCTGGAACAACAACAGCAGGTGCTTTAACAGCTGATCCAGGAAGTCCTAACATTAAATTAAAATAAGAATTTGATTTATCAAGATAATAAAAAACATTTCATAACAAAATTTATCAAAAAACGTAAGAATTTCGAAACAAAATAAAATCTGAAGTTTTGCCTTTGTATAACAAATAAGAAATAATGATCTGAAAGTGAACCCGACATGACACCCCTATACCACCCATCAGGGCGCAGAAAATCGACATGCAGCACACAGNAACGGTATCATTAAAAGCTTTGTCTGATCAAGTACGATTTAGATTAAAATGTTTATAATTTTGAAAACAGACAATAATTAATTAGGTTTCTCTACAAATGTGACTTGCGCATTTCTACTGCAGGAAAACATATAAGAAGTATCAGAATTTTACACTTTTAAACCTAGAAAATGACAATATCTTCCAAAATATTGAGCTGATAAAGTTTTCAAGCGTACCATTGTAAATCAGACATTGTAATATTTTCAAGTAAGGTTACTTGAATTTACGCTTACAGTCCCTTTAAGATTCATCATACAAATTTCAAAAAGAAAGATTTTAAAAGTTCAAGATATTGTGAAGTTGGATCCGGATCCATTTTTCCATAGTTAACGTATCCGCATCAATATCATAATGTAGCTTAGAAGCTGGTCTGAAGTCTAAACCAGTACCTGGATGGTTTGTGAGGGGTATAGGAGCATATCCTGGTGGATCAGGCAGTTCTTCTCTGTTTCAATCAACCAATCAATCAAATTAATTATTCTTGATCTATATAGTTGACTTATAAAATTGAATACTCAAATATATAGTTGCAAAGATACAAAAAAGTTAGAACTCTATAAATCGCAAATAGATAAGTAGGCACTCATGTATGATATGACCCTGTGAAGAAGGGAAACTTCCTAATAATTTAGCGTCTTTTTACAATTTAATTATAGTTTTATTAAATGATTTTCTGTTTGATTGCTTATTAATCTGCTTGATTGATTGATTAATTGCTTTCCTTGGAATAGGTCGCCCGGCAGCTAAAAGTTTCAATGCTTCTTGATACTGCTTCACAATACGCCCCATTCTTCTAGCCTAGATGTTCATATTTTTAGAGATTAGTGATTAGAGATTAACCGAAAATAAATTTGGAATCTTTAAAATAAGGGTGAAAGAAGTAGAC